TTTGTCAAACCCATCACACGAGCGTTGGGCATTATACACAAGACGTCAAAACTATACCGCCCGCAGACGTTGGGTGCGGCGGAGCGCTGACATAAAGAAATCCACAAATGTGTGCGCGCATTGTGTGTTGGGTGTCCGGAGTTGTTGGATGAACGTTTACCGTTTACTATGTTATACCAGAACCTTCAGATATCACGACGTCGCAAGTCAGCACCATTCAGCGTTTATTTTGGTCGACGACTTGTCCCGTTCGCAAACATGACTAATGACTTACCTGGTCATATTCCTACCACGAATGATGCATGGTTAAAGAGGTTAGACGATTAAGAGAAGACTTTCCTACCAAAACTTCATCAGAAAACAATTAAGTATACTGAAGCCATGGCAGAGGCTACGGATCAGATGCGCAAATTTGATTTGATTGAACTTAAGACGGGGAACGTCGTCATGATACTCGCACAGCGAACGACAACCAAAGCCATGATACCATTGCTTGGTCCGTACGTTATTCATAGTCGGGAAAATCAGAGTTACCATCTACGAGCAAAGGATGGCAGCAAGCCGCCTGAGCTCAGAGACCGACCCGTGAATGTGGAGATTATTCGGCTTGTACATTGGGCTACGGAACCACCACTTGATAAATCTCTATGGAGAGAGGACACATCATATCGCACCGTCACAATGAGGCGACTCAACAATCGGAATATTTGGTACGTTGGTTGGAAGGATCTCCTACATGCCTTTGACGATCTCGACGTCGTGCCCGCATATCGCAAACGGATTCAAACGCGTGAAAGTCGACGACAACGACGCCTGGTACAAGGTTAGAGCAGCCTGGCTCGATGGTATGTCTGGCCGAGGTTGCGTCCTTGCTGCATGCATGGGTGATGACAACACACTGGTATAACCGATTGTAAATGTTAGAGGGATAACATTGTTTTACTAAAAGATTTTATATATAGAATAGACACCTGTATTCGAATATATAATATGCACGAGCTGCACAGATCACTATTAGAAGACACAATAGTGCATACAGTACGATAAATAAACATGACACATATTCGACAACAACAGAACATGGAAATGATAAAAGTAATTTGCTGCACTATACACTATGAGAAGACAACACAAACACGTGAACGAATAAGGGCTTACACTAGCTTAATAAGAATATAGGTGCAACATTAATATAACAGAAATAGAAACAAACAAACACACGACGCCATACGTCGCTAAACACGAGCGGTGGTGGTGAGTGGCAAGTATATCTATATGCTTAGAGTACAGGCGAGCACCCTGTTGACTCTAACTCAGTGACGAGCAACCCTGAGGACACGGCGCATTGAACTTTGCATAGGCACTTTGAAGTCGGTGAGCAACCGCAGCCTCACTAGCGTGTTGCATGGCACCCAGTCGACAGAATAGACCGTATGGTTATTTAGATGCTGAGAGTACAGGCGAGCAACCTGTTGACTCTTACTCAGAGGTGAGCAACCCTGAGGACACGCCGCATTGAACTTTGCGTGAAGACTTGAGAGTCGGTAGGAACCCGCAGCCTCAAGCGTGTTGCATAGTCGCCCGGAGTGGTGTTGCATACCAAACGAAACCATTGGTAGCACTATTACGTAGACGGCGGAACGTGTACAACATTATTACGCAACAGGCGGAACATGTGCAACGTGTTACGTAGGAGGCGGTACAGTTGAGACACTATTTCGTAGACGACAGAACATGCGTAACCCTATTGGTGTAGCAGGCGGAATATGTAAGGCGCTGTGACGAAGTCACGGAAAGCGTGTCCATCTCAAGTATGCTCATGAGGACATCACACCACGCTCATCTCATACATAACACTTCAAGTCAATAAGAACAAGAGCAGACCAGAGTAAATAGGTTTAATGGTATACTACGATATGGTCAGGAACAATAAGGAGTTGTCACTGATACCCGCTATTGGTGGGCGTCACAAACAGGGGTGTCGCACGCGGTCAACCCTGTGATGATAGAAGAAAGAGGACAGTAAATTGTTATTAGAGTCATTATATAGTACAATGGTAACCGCCCGCACCATAGACAGACGAGAAGCGAACAATCTTTGTTAACATTCATAAACGTTATGCTTTCAGTCACATGAGTTTTACGCTTTTAGTCATATGCGTTTACGTATATACTCACAGAAAAAAGCCTAATGATTTTTTTAAACAAACTAACGTTTCCACAACCCGTTTACGTTGAAACATGCGTTAAACGTTTTGAGGTCATTCGGCGCTTAATGGATAAGAACTTCAATCTCAAACGTAAAAAGTGTCACTTTACCGTGAGGGAGACAATGGTACTCGGAGAAAGAAGGTATATGCTCAGTGGATTATCGTGGATCAGGAGAAACAGTAGCGTATAAGTAGTTGGCCGATACCAAGATGTCAGATGTATATTGCACCCACACGCATTAGGGCCGAAAAAATCTTTTCCATGCACATTTACCCGACTTTGCACATAAAGTAGCCCTATCACGGACGTTGTCTAGACTCAAGCCAGGGAACCAATTGGTGATCGCTGGAAACCGGAATATTAACTGAGAACAGCATTGTGTCCGCAGTCCGTGTGAATTATCCTGTGGAATGGGTAACGCTAGAGTTGGAGACGAATGCAAATGATTTTGGCAACGACGGGAAAACAAGGAATAGCAAATATACGCCATCTCTATATAGAAACTAAAAGCACTCACGTATGCATTAGTTCACTTCCATGATCATTTGATCGGACAGCGTTCTACAGTGCACACGGATCACAAGGCGCTAATCAACATGTACATTAAAGTTAAAATTAAATAGTATGTTGCAACGTTCGCATCACATTATTGCACAATATGATTTTACAATCAAATTATCAAACATAGGGTATGGCGGATACTTTCCTCCCGGCTGTGTTCTGTACATCTTGCTGGAAGCTTGAGTATTTAGGGTTTTCTTTGACCAGGTCCAAACTCATTTCGAATCCAATGATGTCGATTCCCTTGTCTCTCACCACAACACGCAACTTTGGCAGTACTGGTGGTTTAAGGCGGACCGGGGGGGGGGAGTGGGGGCTTCAAGTTTGACTGGAATAAATACAATGCATAGATGAACCCATTGTCGCGCACAATACGTAAGGCGCTATGCAAGGTATTGGCTGATAAAGCATTCGCAACAATATGTGTGCCGTTAAATTCACGGGCGCCGTGTGTGATTCCCATTGCTCCTTTCCACGATGCAGGCGAAGCAACTGCTTATCCCTCGAACGGCTCATACGTTCTTAAGCATGGCAAACAGGCATGTGGCAAGCATCCTTGGGAGCACACCGTTATTGTTTGAATTTTATAGCTTGCCAGGTTGCTGCACTCGAGTTCCTGAAATATATGCGGGATCTACAGTGATCAACCATCCGGGACATGAGGAAGCAAATCGTAGGGTACAGTAGTTTACATGGGTTTATGAGAAGTTGTAGTGCTTGGAAAATTTCTAATCTGTACACGTTGTGGTACGGTAGTACCTAACAATGTACTTGGGTGTCCACTATGTTCTTGTAAACTACCACTTATGTGAATATGTCTGAACTCTTGAAGATTTTCAGTATAACAATTAGCATGTTCTTTATCTTGAACATGTGAATGATACACCGAGATGTACGAGAATATAGTGAAGCGTAAATCGTCATGGTGGCAATTTCAAAGGGGTTTGCCGACGGCGATGGAATTTGTTAGCTTCGCTAGCTTTTGCGATTCCTCGCAATTTTGCGCGAGTGAACGCGGAATCTCGTGAATACACGCGAGTATGCCTCAGTCAACATGGAAATTTGTTGCTTAAGTGCAGTAGATACAAATTGATAGTTGTCAATGTCAAATACTTTAGGCATTACGGAGACATATGCGTACAAAGGTATCTGAACACGTCAGACACAAAGCAATATCACTAAATTATTCTACGCACTATATACACGATTTGTTCCGTGGAGCCATCAGCTAATCCTATTTATCCTATAGTATTAACTATATTCAATGGCACATGTGTGTAATCCTAGCCCTCATTCCACTATGCTAAGATTTAATACAAGGAGACCTACGAGCATTAAATATTCTCACCCTACTATCTCAGCCAGCCACGAACGAGAGAATAACATTAATGAGGAGTATTAAAAGAGTGCAACTGTGCTATCAAGTAGATTGTAGATACATTGCATGTACAAAATATATACTACAGTGATATAGCAGGGGTGCTCTGGGTTCTGCAACGTACTTTAGATATATGTAGAACTCACAAAACTGATCTGGTATAGAAAATTATGTATAGCTTGTATTCTACTCCATCTAGATAGCACAAATTAGCGACTCGTATTTCATTTAAAACTATTTAAAATAAGCACACTTAAAAATACCTTTTTATACTTTGTTTCGATGTAGTTCAGGCCGTTCAACTTTCCAGACTTAAAATCTATCGCGCTATTAGTGTTCTGCTGTATATATGTCCTCATCGGTCACCTTCACCCGAAAGTTCCTACTTAGTATATACTCAAATGCCAATAAAACTTAATGAAATCAGATTCATGTGATGATTTGAGAATGAGATATTGAAAGTATTGATTGATGGGCTAGCGATGAGCTTGTTCTCAGATCAATTGCCCTCCGCATACACCTTAAGTTAGGTAACAATTTAGAGTTTGGGGTTTAGTTAAGATAATGCCCTACAATGTTATCTGGTTTGACCACCACAGGCTCCATCAACGGCCACAAGATGGCGTATACGTCCCCCTCGGTAGTTTGCAGCACCATATCGTAAAACTGTGCATGAAAAAGCGCACAACAGCCGTCATTCGCATCTTTAGGCAGACGGTGAACACTCATGTTTGTACACTTTGTTTCCACATCACAACATATGGTCACCTTGTTTGTGCAATTGTTGAATTCTGTCTCCCTGAAATCATGAATATTCATCCCACAAGGAAATTGAGCAACGAGGACCACATCACGGCAACCCTTGATTGGATTGCGATAGATGATTTTGTATGACGGTGATGTCCGCCTGGAACGGCGAAGGTGTATCTTCGTGTTCCATATCATCAACCGGACAAGCTGATTCCCTCAGCGAGAGTGGCTTACGCTGCGATGTCCGTGCATCTCCCGTTGACGCGCCATCTTCAAAATTGAAATTCAACGCTTGGTTTCGTTCTGCTTCTGATATGTTGAATGTAAGCATGAATGAAATAAATTTATTGTATCTTATTTGATAAAAAGAAAATATCTGCAGATTCAATGTTGCGATTACACTATAAAAATGAATTCTGTTAAGGTTTATTTGACGGCGGATTCAAAAGTTTTTATACACATGATATATTCTGACTTTTAAGCGACTGGCTCAGAATCCGGAATCTAAATCACACAGAATACATGTAAGTCGCAGACAGAGATAATTGCCTCATATATAGAAGGATAACAGTATACATGGTTATTCAAGGCACCAATATAGAAATTCCACAGTTTTTGATTTATAATTCAGTGGACGTGATATACGATTTACACTCTCTCATCGCAATGTGAACTGTTTATTAACCGAGTAATACTCCAGGCTATAGTGTCCTTTTGGGCGTATGGGCTTCATGGATTCAGCTCGTGCCATCCGCAAAATAGGTTGACAATATTCGAGATATTCATTCTGTCAACGGCTACTGACAGTCTGTACATTACTGCATGGGCCCCTTATATATGGCATGCCGCATTCAATCCATTGTACGAGCGGCACAACTCAGCACTAATCCAAGCAGCAGCCATCATAACAAGCACTGCATTCCCAACACTCCTGTACCAGCGCATACGGCTTCGCCACTTCTGAGAGACTACAGTAGTAGACGTATTTCTATATACGTTAATAAAATTTTACGTCGTCAGCCCGAGAGTAATTTGGGACTTGTTCTCAAATTAATATAAGTATAGGTGGGTCAGCCCGAGAGAACGTAAGAGTAATTTAAGACTTCTTCTTAGATTATTCTATTTAAAGGACACGGGCCACCGGCTAGCCGAGAGCCGAGGTCCGAGACTGAGTGTAGTAACAGAGAATATGGTATATTTATTTCTAGAAAATATATCCAAGTGCTAAAGTGTTCTGCATAAGGTTTCTCATACTGATCATATGAGTTTTTACCCTGGCCAACCCAAGTGGTTGAACACTAGTAGAAACACCATCAGTATATAACTGAGGGTGAGATCATAAATAAATTCATTCGAATGCACCATACTTTAGATACACTAGCACTTTACTATTTGTCCCCCACATCGCACGCTAACAACTTCTGCAGTTTACTTCCAGCACGCCAATTTGAAGAGACTTGGTGGCTGCCGGCAAATCTACCGCCAATTGGATTGAGCTTATTACAACAGCTACGAAATTGACATGACTACCACGGCATATAGAATCTCCAAGAACATCTCGGGAGCTTCCTTCTCCATGAACAGCGGGTACCAATTTACCCTTATTCAGTACTGACCAACAAATTTATGTTCCCCATACCTCGTCTCATCACTCTTATGAGGTACTAGCTTCAGAATTTTGTACGAACCAACTCTTCGAGGCTCCTGATAACGCTCATGATACTTCCCGCTATGGCTAACCAAGATATATCAAAAATATCAGTTGTATGGTGTGCCATCGGCAGCCTCCAACTTCGCTCCAAAACAGAATTGCGGATGATGACCTCATTCTTCATGGTATCACGTTCAATGTATCTGAAAATACTCCTTTACCACTACGAGTGTGGGCCAGCTCTATTCCGCATAATGGTATACGATTTTAGCTCTCATCCAATGGTGAAAGTGTTCCCTATCCATCGTCACGAATTCACGCACGGTAGTTTCCATCGTTGTATCACTCGCCCCGAGTTTCTCGCGGCAGTTCTACAATTCTAATTTCTCTTCAATCTTCCCAGAACCTCTCCAACGAATATGAAGCCTGATGTGCATGTAGACACTCAACAATTTACCAAAAATTGCAATAAAAAATAATGTCCCTTTCAAAGTCCATTGACATGTGAGACGATATCTATGATTCATAAACCTAGTCGATAGTATTCCATTGTTATTACATGTAGTTCTGATTGGATTTTGATTCCACTTTAATATTTTTAAACTCAAATATTCTCTGTTAGTACATACATACTAAATAGAATTGACTTCTCTATTACCAGCACAGTGGTTTGATTATGTTCGATCTATCAGCCACTATGGTGCTACAGCAAACAATGTTAAATTTGTTAAATTGTAGAGAATACTCCTTCTGTGGTATTCTCAGATGGGCATACAAAATTGGCTCCGTTATCAACACTAAATGCTATCTACAATTGTATGCAGTACAATCATCGACAAGACCAAATATACGCATTGATACTACAGTCTCATGTGGATTTTCAATCACCTCCCACACAGCGTGCAATATATTTTGTAATGCAATCATTAGTGGATTATGCACGAGTATAGACTATAATTATGTAGCCTCATAATATTTGTGCCACCAGTGCGTGTAAAAATAGTGCTAAAGAAGAGTGTTTCTTTTGGCTATGTAAACTTCAATTTACATTTCCAAATAGATATGTATATATATATCGATGATAACATTGTAGCACAAGTTGCAAACAGAGCAAGTCAAAGCAAGTATTGTGTATACAAATTTTGTATTTGTAGGTCTCATCGTAAATCTACCATGCCCTTGCTTACATAAATTGTCTAGTTGTGTATCGGGAATGCACTCTTCGTATGTTCAACATACTGCTAGCCATTCACTGAGTATACCGTCTGTGAAATGTTGTGAAATGTTTAAAGTTCTTGAAAAGACATAAACCCTTACAATGGACCTTTACCAAGCAAAATGCTCTCAGGTAGATAATCAAGTGTAAATATTTAACAGTGCCATAGGTTTGTATCAGCCCCTAGTATAAAACTGTTCACGTACACATGCACACGGATAAAAATCAATAGGCCTTATGGTGCGCGATAGCATATATCAAATGCTCAATCTAATAAATTTCTTTATTATATTGTCAACGAGTTGGCCCAGGTTGTATTGCGAGTATATAAAAGCGCGCAATCGATATATTGGCGATTCGTATGATTCCATCCAAATGCATGACTGGAAACCTCTCATTCACACTCGATAACTTTAGCAAAATAACTATGTATAAGCAAGGGTATCGTCAGTAGGCTATTGATACAAAGTATACGTATTCTCCGCAAAGTCCATCCAATTAATATGCACTTAATACTTCAAAGTGAGGGCTCTTAAGCCTTAATTTTAATTGCTGGAACTGATCGCGAAAGAAGTGTACATGCGATTCGTATTATGCATATTCACTGAAATATCCGAAATGCGCACGAGTGTCAAGTTGTTGCGTGCTGTAATTTACTATGATAACTCAAGGGAAGATATTTTTTATTAGGCAACCAACAATCGGCAATCACGTACCTGCAGCATCGTAGGCCACAAGTTCTATAGATAGAATCAGACTTGAGCATATTGATTTGCAAATCACTGTACATTAGAATTGAACGTTAATTAATCGATATTTTATATCGTGTTCGCACTACAAGCTATTCTATCATAAGGGCAGCGCATGCTAACTCTAATGTAAATTGCTAGATATGTAAGGCCATCACAACGGGATTTACTCCGTTCTGTTGCAACAGATTTGCAAGTATAGTTCATACTAAAATCACAACGAGTCTCAGTAAATTATAAAGCGATGTTATCATTTTTAAGACCGACGTTTGAACCTTTCAAAGCGCGATCTCTGGCAGAGCAAAGTGCAAACAAAATAACGGCGTTTCTATCCTCGTAGCTGCTGAAAGGCTCCGTATTGACAGTCTCCAGTGTAAACATCGGTCTGACAAGACGATGTCAACGGCTTAAGTTCTAACGTACTCAGTATTATTTCATGTCTTTTAGTTAATGTAAGTGCAAAAGTAGTCTACTATTAAAGTTATGTTTGCCTCGTGAATAGCCATTGTAATAACCAATGGTTAGCCACGAATCAGGATTTACCGGTTAGCCCAGATCTGACTGGCAACCTGGTTGGCTGCTCGGAAGATAAAATTGGAAACGTTAATAGTCCCTGGAAACCTACCTGTTCTCGGTTGAGCCCTTGAGCCATCTCGCTACTGAAGTTTTCAGATAATAAATCTTTGCCTTCGAATGAGCTTACTCTAAATATCTGATTTGTAAAATGGTAAAGTAATATATAATAAAACCATTCGAAGCCTTTGATAGACCTAGTTTAAGGACTTTTTAAGAGTACGGTTAAATACAATGAATCTAATGCGGAGACCCGGCTACTACACAGCCCCCACCCAGTATTGGTTTTTAAAAGAGACTAGTTGCTAACTCAAGCCGATTGTGAACAAAAAGCGACAAAAGAAAACATATAGTCAATGTTCTTCAGGCGTAGATCTCAAGTATTCTCGGTTTTTCTGTGAGTTTTGAGTGTAGGTCTAGTAGGTCCTTGATAGTCGACTGGACGCTTTTTGCGGCTTCAAAGTCTTTGGAACATATGTATGAAAAGTGCGCTGTAATGCTTAGGATTAATACTTTTGGCGTGTGCATTTTACCTTCCACGCCTTCAGATGAAAATGCTATCTTTTTCAGCTTGTGACTTATGTAGGCGTTTACGCCGCTTTCCATTAAAAGATTTTTCAATGGTCTAGGTTGTCAAGAGCGTCTGAAGTTAATCCAGCTATAAAGTGTACCGTCTATAAAAGGTGTACGATAGTATGTATACGCTCCTTTATCTGTTTTCCATATGGAATCCGTTTTCCATATGGAATCCGTTTTCCATATTATGTTTCCTTGCGAGTATAATCTCTGTAGTCGTAATGCGACTAGTGACCACATTAAGATAGCAATGTAATTTTGTTGACGAATATCACCTTGGTCACCGACTTATTACTCTGCTATCTTTATGAATCATTCCATCTATTTCACCTTTATAGTAAGGCCGCATTATGTGACTCCCGCAAGCAAGGATGTACAACGTTATGAATACTTTCTACCTTCTCTAGCCATGGTAACACATGGCAAGAGAAGCCAGAATCTATTCATAACGTTGCCCATATGAGGGTAAATTTCTTATTCTACTCTTCTAGAGCAAAGGTAGGGTGTAATGAATCCACTTGCGTGCTCTTTAAGTCTGTAGTCTTTTCAGACCCCCTTGCTTCTCTAGTCTGAGCTTCTTCATTGCTTGGCGGTTTTTGCTGGCGACAATTGCTTCGGCAGTGACCTTGTTCTCTTCGGCGACGGCCTTGTTTGCTTCGGCGCCGGCGGTGCCAGTCTTCGTCTCAGATTTCCGTTTCTTCGAAGTAGAAGAATCATTGTTATGTCTTCTATACGTGTAAGAAATAAACGTTTAGGGAAAACGATTGTATGGCATATAACACCAGTACGGTTAAGTAGCTCAAGTAAATAATACTTTTACTTCCTTTACAATGTGTAATCGTCCTGACGAGACAATGTTTGATATGGATTTAAGCTGTAACGCACTCCGTATGTAAGTGCGAAAATAAAAGTTTCCCTCGTGATCACCAGTGTTTGCCAAAGGCAGCAAGCACTCAGCTCTTGCATCAGCTACAATTAGCTTCGGCTCGGATCATGATACAGTAACCTTGGCTTGACGATTTTATTTCTGCGTACTGGTCACCTCTTCAGCTATTTTAGCGGGTACCTCAGTATTATTTCTCAATTGCGAATGCAAGTGTACATCACTATACGACTCTGCTGTTGTTTTGAATCAGGCTTAAATACTTGTTGATTGATCGTGTTGTGATTGCTGATTTTGTTGAGTTTGTTGGTTTGATGTGCTGTTGTTCGATTCCAAATTCCGCTTTAGAGCGGGCCGTTCAAGACGTATTGGATAGTATGTACGTGGACGACGCTATCTTGACCTTAAATTCTCTTAAATTCCATTAATACTGGTCTTGCGATATTGCCTGTATCAGGAATACCAAAGGTAGCAAGTAGTCAGCACCAGTATCAGTTACAGTTTGCTCCGGCTCGAAACGTGATACAGTATCCTCCGGTTGGTTGACAATTTTATTCCTTCGAACTGGTCACCTCTTCAATTATTTTAGCGTTTCTCACTTGCGAATGCAACTGTCGTAAATCACTATTCGACTCTGCTGCTGTTTGAAGCAATTTTGTATACTCGTTGATTAATCATGTGATTGCTTATTTTGTTGAGTTAGTTGGTTTTTGTACAATTGTTCGACTTCGGATTCGGCTGTAGAGCGGGCCGAACAAGATTTGATGGACAGTATGCAAGGTGTGGGTAAGGTGTGGATGACTGATATCTCTTGAACTTTCGTTGCTCCTGGTCTCGCAATGTTGTCCGTATCAGGTTTACGAAGGGCAGCGGCAAGTATTCCGCTCCAGTATCAGCTGCAATTTGCTTTGACTCGAATCGTGGTACAGCAACCTCGGCCTGTCGATTTTTTCCTGCGCACTGGTCACCTCTTAATTTATTTAAGTGAATACTTCAGTATTATTTTTCAATTACAAATGCAAGTGTCATTCATCACTATGCGACTCTGCTGTTGTTTTGAAGAAGGTTTGTCTACTCGTTGGTTGATCATATTATGGTTGCTGATTTGATTGAGTTTGCTTGATTTGTGTACTGTTGTTCGATTCCGGATTCGGCTGTAGAGCTGGCCGATCAAGATATATTGGACAGTATGTATGTCCGCATGTCCGGTGTCGCCGACGGCGCTGGTTTTGCCATAATTTCTCTTGAACTTCCATTGGTACGGGTCAGGTTTATTGGAAAATGCTTCTGGCGCCGACAACGCTGGTTTGACCTTGATTTCTCTTGAACTTCCATTGCTACCGGTCTTGCAATATTGTCTGTGTCAGGTTTGCCGAAAGCGGCAAGTACTCAGCTCCAGTATCTAGTTTGCTTTGGCTCGAGGCTTGGTAAAGCCACCCCAGCTTGACGGTTTTAGGTCACATCTTCAGTTGTTTCACCATATACTTCAACACTATCTCTCAATTGCGAATGCAAGTGCCATTCATCACTATGCGACTCTGCCGTTGATATGCGCTCAGTGCATATCAATAGTTGAGCTCGAGTCGTCTCGACATGTACTACCTACGACTCGCTTGTTCCATTCTGCCATAATTAAACGATTTTTCTCACTTCTGTCTAAGCTGTAAGATTCAGCCTGCCGACTGAATTGCGCAAACAGAAGCTACTCCTGTACGGTTTGCATGTCTCTACATAAACATAAATATGATCATAGTCTTTTGGGGTTCGTTTATCATCCAGCTTGGTCTCCAATTGGATTTTAGAATCGTCCATCAAATAAATGTCGCAAAGGTGCAAATTCAAAAGTTGCGTTGGTCGCAACGTAGACATCCAGTCTTGGATACAGTTCTCCAATCCACCAATTCAGTCTCGAAGTATCCAATGACTGTTTTATGTCTTGTTTGTATCATTTGTTGTCTCATGTATGCCATGAAGTCGATAACAAATGTACCTTTTGTAATTGTATATCCGAACCTGAGGGATAAGGTCTGATGAATGACGGATTCTACATTGTTCAATTCTCTAGCACACAACTACAGCTAGATACCGCCGTGACTACTTTGTCACACGTATACAAATTCACATCCAGTGGGTCGGATACGTAGTCGCCTTCTAAGCTCGAGTATTACTTTTGCTTGCTGTCTAGCCTTGTCATTGTATAGCGTCGCGCCGGTACGCGAATTAGCCATTCCTGCATTGGATCAAAGATCCTCTTCACACGTTTATGAAGCAGTCGAGGCCCTGGAATATGTCGCCTGACTTTCTACGTATGTATTTGCGGCCTCTAACATTACGTACTGTTTCGTCGAGGCCCTGGAATATGTCTCCTGACTTTTCTACGTATGTATTTGCGGCCTCTAACATATTGTTAAGTGTCTCCTCGCTGTTCAAGTACCCTTGGATACTTTCTTCATATCATCCACACTATCTGCAACAATGGCATCGCGAAAGACTTGCTAAAACTCCCAGTGATAACCATGAATTTTTGACACTGGCAACATATCCATTAGATGGAAAATATCCTTAAGTGCATGGCGCCACACATGTACTAAATCCGATTGATCTTCGCCTAGTCCAGTAGGTTCTGGCGTATTGTCGAAAGCAGCTTCAAAAAGTGCATCTGGTCACACTATCAATTGGGTCGAATTCATGTAATTGTTCTTTACTCTATTCATCCACCAAATCAAGAGATAGTGCCGAAGCAGCAGACATTGATATAGCCATCATGAAGTAGGTCAATACTCAATATAACTGTGTATAGTTGTACATTTGCTAGTTTTAAATTTAAATATATTTACAATTGAGATTTGCACTGTTTCGGAGTGTCTTTTTCCAAAATATTATTCAATTTCATCAATAAAAATATATTCCAACTGATTCCAGATATCTCGGAGTCAGACCCTGTGGACCAACAGATTATTTGTATATCACAGGGCTAGACAGCTCCCATCCAAATAACTGTCTGACAACTATCGCCCCTGCCATAAGCAAGATACTTGGCTATAGGCCTCAGAAATTCACCTTACGAATATATATACGTGAACACAAAGAACTTATGCACTGGAGGAAAAACATATTCCACTAAAGTAACAATATGAGGAAGTGTATGTAAAACCTTATTCTATTTTCTTCGACACACGGGAATCTGTTTCTGACCTCATACTGATAGGTGTCGACAGTTTGAGCCTACAATTCCGAGTGTATACTTTCATAAACCATCACACAGAGAGCGATATACTAAGAATGAACGACCTGATCTCGGCAGGCTAAGTAGAAAGACAGTAGCTGATATATAGCGATAAACATACTGTTCGCCACATACTTCCAACAGTCAAGGCGAATACGTATGTGAAAGAATTTCTGGGTAATTCAAAAGCTTTTGAGAAATCGGAGTATAGCAAGCTGTGGTAGATTTGTTTATATATTTTAACCACTTACATCTCATACATGCATATAGAGCGATGCACGAAAAGTAATGACCTATGCTCCGTTACATCCTCTCCACCTTCAGACATCAATAAGCACCTACGACTGAACTGACAGATTCTAGACTCTTGCACGCAATGAACAGATCATATAGTCCACATCTCAATATGTAAATACACCCGCTAACGGATATACGAGCACGTGCATTATACACGACAAATTTCGCTCGTATTGTTCTACTTTCGATTGGGGGTTTAGGTTTTCTTAGTAGTATAACACGTCGGTAGAAGTTGACAAACACTAGCGTTGAATACATACGCACATCCATTCTTTATACAGCTCGTTCTCATATACACTCCGAAGATCACAATATTAATATCAATGTAAACATATATATATTCCATTCAATTCATATTCCATTCAATTCGAAAACCATGGCCACGCAAGATACCCTTGCAAATATTAAAATACAGCTCGTATACTACTGCATAAAAGACAGCGACTGAAGAATACACAAGCCCATGAAGATGTGAAAACTATTAAATTGTTGACTGTCATCGTGAAAACAAGAATACACACAACAAAACAGATTCACTACATTGCACCTTGTACACACGAGCTAGCATACTAAGAAAACCCTGACAACTGTTTACTGACCCACATGAACTTTTATTGCTGCAGCTGACAGAATGCTCGCTATAATCATCCAGCACGCCCGACCAGAGTTGTTATGAATCTACTTGTTAAGGATGATTCCTACATTGTGAAAATAAACGCGAGAAAATACTTGTAAGCATTGGCTATTGCATCCAATATTCTACACAATGACTATATGGATACATTATAGACAATAAGATGGGTTTTCACACATCGATAGATCTAACCCAGCATTCGAGGACATAAAGCTGAGTTATATGCAGTTTTAAAAACAAGCAAAATATACAGCAAAGAGATGACATACCATCGAACTTCTGTTGGAACCATTTCATGGTCTCTTCCTTTGTACAACGGTGAGGGTATCCAACTCTGTTGTTCTTGCGCTTGCGCTTGGCAATGCAATATCCGGGGCGGCCCATAACAATGAAGAAGTCCATACCGTAGATACCAATACTGGGATCGTACTTAATTCCTAAGTCAATGTGTTCTTGTACACCGAATCCGAAGTTACCGGTCTGCGAGAAGTTGCTCTTCTTCAACTCGTATTCGAGAACCTGTATGACACGAGACATTGTTGCACATGAACACTCGATATAATACCAATATACTATGTAAGAATGTATTCTATAACCTTATACATAGATACACATATTCGATTGCAAGGCAGAGAACTATATTATATTCCACACAAATACAACAGCAGTACAAAGCCCCAAACAAGTGATTGTACATTAATAGATATGCGAAACGAATTCCTCTCAGCCGAAAGATGGTGTTATCTGAATTAATCAGTTGATGTCATTCACATGGACATTTTATGCATCATTGGGATCCGTTCTCGCAGTGCGCAGTTTTTACATAGTACATCAACATACATACCATATTCACGCACAAAAGCAAACTTGTATGCGTTGTACACAGTAGAAACAGTTCCTATACGATAATCGCGTTCTTTACAATGTGTATATGTACAATTTAGATGCAACACCCTAACAAACAATTAAATCCATCTATTCAAATAAAGGCACCTACTTAAATCACCCTGTAAACACGCATGTCTGCCCATACATACCTTAAGTCCCTTCTCGAGGATCTCCTCCGCCTTGGGTCCACGTACGGTGGCGTGCACGGCAATCTTCTCATTACGACGAATAGAGAAAGATCGCACAGTGTATCGGGCCTTTGAGAAAACGGGTTCCTGTCCGGTAAGAGACTCTAGTACCTTGGCGGCACGGGTCAGACGATCACCTGACTCTCCTACACAGATGTTCACACACAGCTTGCGGACGCGAAGATCCTTCATGGGGTTCGCCTTGGTCTGGGCGGGTTCGGCAGCGGAAGCCTAATCGAATGCGTGTATAGAAGCGTGCATATTAGAAGTGTATTACATGTGCATACGAGTGTGATTGCTTAGTGCAGAGGTATAAGAGTGTACAATTTTGTTTGTATGTGATCTATCAGTGAATATATCGACAGATGTTATGATAGCATACCACTCTACGAGCGCAAATTAGTATTATATACATTCTTTGTTGAAAATGTGCTCAACAAGCATCATACAATATACACTTATCTATCCATTACTTGCATCTGTCATTTCCTGGTTGAATACCATATTGTTATTATCATCACGTAGAGTGCTACCACACTGTGCCAAGCAATATACAAATATATCGGCTACTACCCGTGCGGTCTTCACTTTTCTGACACATGTGCTGCATGCCCTTCTTCCTCGTACCACTAGGGCATATGTGTGAGAACATTGACAGATATATACGAATATATATATATATATATATATAAGATATATACGTACATGCATATGTACTCATAAATATTTGTGGTGTGATGGACGTTTCAATGATATGTGCCATCTTTGTCTGGAATGTTTCAATATATTGGCTGTCGTCATGTCGTTGCTTGTTGAGCTGATAGTTCCTTCAAGTTGTTAAAACATTCTTATATCATACGAATTATACGTATTGAAGTCCAGATCTCTGCATCTTCGGTGTATTTCACTGTGTAGAATTTCGCGTTACTAAGTTTCTTCTTTCATTGTGCATTCGATGGGTATACTGAGCGACGAGATACTGTGTGTATTGCTGTGCGCATGCAAGAAGCCCAACTGTGTGGGTGTGTACGTACCATTTTGCAATTAGTCCAGAGAGAAACGCTAAACTAAAAAAAGACAGAGAGCTTTATCCGCAGTGAGTTCTAATACCACCTTCAAAATGATTCACAACTTTGTTCGTGCTCACTGGTTCTGCGCCCAAATGGAACTCACAGGTCAGTGGTGCACGCGCACCATCCCAATTCTCTACCTACGAATTAACTTGAATGTCGTAAACTATATCATCAACATAGTTCATCCCACCTTCAATGAAAATATTGAAAATTTAAAACATTTTAGACATTTCCAATTTGTCGTTAATTTCTACCCAGCACATTACACATGTGTGAATTCTACAGCCCCCAGCGGGCCCAGACCCAGGGTCCCCAGTCGGCCCCCAGCCTCCAAGACAACCTTTAATTGGGTTCTCGTTAAAACGTTACAGAAATTAATTGTTTATACGTTAACTAAACGTTTATGAGAATTTAAGGGCGTGTAATTTTCGAAGTTAGCAATATGTATATCTTTTTTTTTTTGCATTTTAAAACGTACAAATTTCAATTATTTGTTGCATTTCCGTTGAACGTTTACTTGAATGCAGAGCGAGCCGACGTCAGCGCAAGGCCCCCAGCGGCCCCAGCCCCCAGGTCCCCTCAGTCCCAGAGTCCCAGACCCCAGCATTTGGAATTCTGAGGTCTATGACTGGGGTGTGGTGTATTTTTATAAATACAATAAACGCCGTGCAATTGATGTTGCACATATATAGGGGGTTTTTAGTTCATAGTAAAGTGTACCTCTGGAAGCTATGCGATGTAGGAACAACTACTGTGTATGAATATAGACACGCTAGGGCGACTATATACTAGCAAGAATATATAAAGTGCTGTGAAGCATACGTCCAATTTGGAGTGTTCATCTGCTTCTGAAAAAAACTCTATACCCTCACCTTTACTAAGAATTCGTGCGTTCAGGAATAGCCAGTATGCCTAGGTCTCCGTGTTCTATGAAGTTTTTAAAGTTAATTTGCCATCTAATGCATATATTATTGAATGATTGTGCGAGTTGTACCACTAAACACTTGCTTTATGCTGTCAATAGTTATATATTCATATGAAGTGGTCAAGGCTGATTTTGGTGCGGCAGTCTGATCCAAATGGCTGTGCTACACACCATTTGCGTGTAGAGAACTGAATATCGTGTTTCGGTTTTACAAACAGCGCGAGTAACAATTCTTCTAGTTTGCACCACTTAGCAATTAATTTTGGCTGTCAGAACTAATTTAAACTTGAAGCATGTGTCGCAAATCAACTACCTACAGATATCTGTTCATCGCGTTTCATTTCGATAAACAACAGCAAAATATGGTTCTGTTGTACCCCAAGATACTTTACCGGATTTCCTCATTTTATTGTCAACAGTTCTGTGACTTTGCACCGCTAAGTGCATATGCATATTACTGCTTTTTGCTGAGATAGGTTTTAAAATAGAACAATTATTTGAACGACGGATAGTTGACTATTGCGTAAAATTCTGGTCTGGATGGCAGCTTTGCATGTGTCGATTTATCTGGTTATCGTATTTCTTTTAGATAAACAGTAAAACAGATAGTATTTCAGGACACTCGGCTATCTTCCACAAAATGTTGTGTTGTGTTGTGTTCAATACTGCGATTTTGCACTACTAAGCAAATGCGTCAGCTGTCTCAGAATTTCTGTGACTTATTCATCGCAGGCCACTTGGCAGTTGTGCACATCAATTGTGTGTAGAGGTCTAAAATTGATATGACTTGATAGATACGAGAACAAGGATTATGAAAATTGAACATGCATTCTCAAGCGTGTGGACCTTTATTATATACACCAATCTAAAGTAATTTTGTAGTAGACAAGAATCCGCATTCCGATACATTGTGCTCTATTTATACTGAGCACAGTTCTCATATGTTTTAATTCTGTACAGATCTTCGCCACCAATGACCGGACCATCAACGCGTAGCTGATAAACTCAACCTGTGTGGAGCAAGCCATCTCATTAGTTGTGCACTCGCCTCGACTTGTTGCCAGTTGTACCAGCGACATTTCATTATCGCCCACAAACTCAAGAAGATACATTCCACAAAACGAATATTGAAGCTTGCAGGGTAGACCCTTGATGAAGTTAGCACAACCCGGATACACGATCGAAAATGTATGGATTGTTGACTGCCAAACCGAAAACTCGAGGGTCCCCTCGGCTCAACTCTGTGCGCGTGCCAGCTTCGTGGTAGTTGTCTGCACGAGGCAAGATAGACTCCAGTGTACACTCACGAAAGGATGTGTTACTTACATCGCGGCCAACTAGACTATTGTCGTGTTTCGCAAGAGCAAAGCACTAACTTGGTAGATAGACAGAAGAGTAATGTAGTCTTTAGCGAAGATTGTGTCGGATCAGGATCCAGGTGATCTCTATCGGTGTGTAAGCACTTGTTAAAGAAATTAAAAAACTTGGTATCAGTATTCAATTTCACTATTTATAGATGGAAGCTAAATGCCAAGTCTAGTCAACTGACTGTTATTGTCTTGGTATATATTCACACGCATCTTGAAGTGATGGAGAAACACGCGCAGATTTTCTAGTATCATATTGGAAATTTTGTCATGATATATCATAACATTGCCATAACTGACCTTCACAGAGCGTCCATTCCTCCTCCTTTCTTCTTTCGATAATGGTATCAATGCATAGTGACTATACACTGTTGTGTTCACCATAAAGTACAGATATTTTGAAGTACTAATGTTCTCACTTATACGCATTTATCCTTTAAAAAAAAAGACGGCACAACACGCGCAGATTTTCTAGTACCACGGGGCACGGACCACCTTGCACAGTGCACAAGATCATGCGCTGTACTTTTTACGTATCTTGATAATAACTGCACACCATTGACCATAACAGCATAACTGTTCGATCTTCACAAGTTCCTCCACCTTTCTTCTCTTTATATATATTTTTCTCCTTCAAAATAATACATAACAAAGACAGTTGGCGACTTGGCGCCTGGCAGTGCCAGACTTGAGACTTGAGAGTAAAAGGTGGAAACAAAAAAATACACTATTATTTTGTAAAAACAAAACTATTCAAAAAATAATAATACATACAGTCAGTCAGTCAGCCAGTCAGTCACCAGTCACCAGTTCACCACTCTGCTACTAGTATTTCATATATATATATTTTTTTGAACGTATATACTCCGGCAGATTTTTAGATAAATAAAGCATTTTGCTTTTATTTTTATTTATATTATTTTTAATTTGTAGAAAAAACAAAATCAAAAAACAAAAACAAAGCACTTGCTTGCCCTCTGAACTCAGTCTGAAGTCTGAGACGAGCACTCTTTTTATTAGAAAACACAACAATAGACTACTTATGACTAAAAAAACCAGCTTTCCTGGGAGAATCCATTTTTCATTCAGCGAACATTTCTATTGGGCTCCAGGGGCCCAATATGTATAATAATTAATAGCCCTTGGCACAGTCTCCCCTGGACACACACGCACTCTCTCTGTACTAAATACAGATTTAACGAGAGTAGTAGAGAAAGGCGGTCTGGCCGCTGGGTTTGGGGCATTGGGCCCTGGGCCTGTCCAAGTGGGAGCTTGGGAGGGTTTGCTTGTGGCTCTGAGTTTGAGGCTCTGATGAGCCTCAGGCCTCGTTTCGATCTGTACATTACAAAATGTGGTACAAACACTATGAGTTCTGACTACTTCTGAGTAACACTTGACAGGGCACTCCAGAGAGTCTCAGTTCACAAACATAGTTTTTCCTCAAAGTTCCGAACTGATCGCAATTTTTAGAACAGCAAATGAACGACTGCAGTAACCACTCGCCAGTCATCAGGAGTGCAGTGCAGGCTGCACACAGCAGAACAGCTTCTGATGCCGGTCTGTATTTTAATAAAATCAGAATCTTCCTCGCTAATAACGAGAAGACCCAGAATAAACACCCAGACTACCAAACAATATACACTTCCAACATGAGCTTCAAGTATGCTGGAAAGAAAGCAATGCGTTCTATCATGATAAATGATGGGCGTTTGCCCCCGCAAGCAATGTCTATGATAAACAAGCAATTGATGAATGACGGTACGTGACTGCGAAACATAGGGATGATATGATTGCGAGTGCGTGTATCAAAACTCTTTAACTACAATTGATAGCACAACAATATCTCCGACTTATTCCAATAATGCACATACAGATGCACACAATTAGTTTCTGAAATTATAGCCCCTAGCCACACAGTAATCGGTTCCTAGACATAAACCAGCACACACACATGAGTGTGTGTGAACATACGTGCACACACACACACACACACAC